ACCAGTTTATTAGCAATTTACACTAATTTAGTCCCCCTTCCCACCAATATCATTTTGTAGTTAGTGCTAAAAAAAATCTTCAGTGCCATCAAAATGCACAAGACTCTTGAAAATAGAAATCCAGAATTTGTTTCAGCAGGTGTACACACCCCTCTTTATTTGTTATCGAACTCCTCCTAGGGTTTTGGAGATAGACCCTCATAACTGCATATATTCTGAAACTACATTACCCAGGGAACTTATCTAAGTATATTTCCCTTTCATCAAAGGGAGGTCCCAGGAGAAGGAACAAGGGAATGACTCCTACCCAAAATGTAGGAGAAAGCCAGCAGATGGAGGTCACATTGGCAAGATCATTGAGTAATATTGAAATGCATCATTTTTCTCCATAAACTATAACAATGATTTAAAATCAAACATTTTTTTCTTACAAAAAAAAAGACACTGGAGCAAGATGCAGTTAATTTGGCTAGTGTTTTTTTTTTTTTTTTTTTTAGAACATTTAAGTTTTAAATCTTTTGAAATACTGTATTAATTTCAGCCTTTTAGCACTATTTACCTTTTCATAAAGGGAAAAGCTTACAAATCCTTAAATGCCAATATTTGAAATTTTTTTTAATATGGGCAACCATACATGCCATTATCAGAAAATAAGAGCAATGACTATACTGAATTTAAAGTCGACATTTCTAAAATTTAATGAAATGTTATATCACTGAGAATATTTTCCTAAATTAGTATTACGAAATACTATGAAATTATATAGAGGCACTCCTTTCATTTTCTTAAATTACTCTACAGATATGTTTAATGCTTTGTAGACACTGTCATCAGACTGTCAACACATTGAAACACCTACTGCATTTGTGCAATATTTTAAACTTAAATATTTGTTTCAAATCTGATTTAATTATACTTTAAATTAATATTCCTCAGTTTCAGAAAAATTTTTTTTTTTAATAGAATTACATTGGAATGAAAGGCAACTAAAAAAAAAGACTAATCAGGTAGTTTTCAAAAACTTTATCAATTTAAATTATTTTTTGAAATACAGCAAAGTATTTTGCTTATTGGAAATATTAAATTTATTAGCTTAATTAAAACTTAAATAAAAGCTTTAAGAATTGTCAGCAGTACTTAATCTTGAATATTTTTGCTCTATAAGAGTGATTTTTTTTTTTTTTTTTTTTTTTGCTAATTGGTAAGATATCTGCCTACTCATAACAGGAAACAAGGGATAAATATCACGTGTGAAAATACAATGCATACTAAAGTGTTTGATTGTGGCAAAAAAACTTCATCTAATTGTATCTTAGTGTCTCAGCTTTTCCCTTTTAAAATATTGAAAATTATCTGCTCCCTCAAATGTTTTTAAATTCTAAGCAATTTATTACATTTGTGATTAAATAATCAGTGATATTAATGGAAAAATGAATTAAAATTTCTTAAAGTCGTTTTTTGGTATCTCTAGTACAGTAAACTCTTAACTTCTTGAAACTCCATTTTTAAGACTGATGTTTTGAGAACTGATACTTACTAATTACGTAGCAATCAGTCTTTTTTTTTTTTTTTTTTTTTTTTTTTTTTTTTTTTTTTTTGACTGAATAAAATATTGCATTCTGAATTTGCTTCAAATCACTCCATGGAGAAATTTTTAATTTCCAATCTGACTGTAGACTGAATTTGCATAAATGATGGCATAATGGGGGTATGTTACCTGTGAATCATAAAGTAAGCAGTATTTTGATAGTATTAGAATTGAGATCTAAATTTGAGTGATGTCTATTTAAATGAATTAGATCCTATTTGGTTGTTTCAGTAATACTTTACCTCCAACTAGACTTGGCACATATATACCTCCCTCTATCTCTGTGGATAAATCAAGATTAAGACTTTATCTTCAAAAAAAAAAAAAATCTAGAAGCTGCTACAGTGATGATTGAGATTTAATTTTCTAAAATGAAAACTGCAAAATATTTTGACCCCCCCATCTTATCCAGATGTTTAAGCTTTGATTACCAGCCATAGATCTCTAACAATACTATCCTATGCAAATGAGTGAAATTGCAATAACTGAAAATCCTGTCTTGTAGAAAAATTTGCTTTAATGTGCACAAACAGGTTGAATTTATTGATAGTATGTTAGTTGCATGACCAATCTCTTATGAAATCAATAAGTGTCTAAGCTTGTGGATTTCTTTTGACTTAGTCTGCCTAAGCTGAATAAAATATCTGCAATGATATAAAGTGATCAATTTCCAAGTTGATTCATGTGCTCTTAAAACCAACTCCTTTTAGTGTGAAAAATGAAAAATTATCTGAAAGAATCTAGAAAAATGTTACTGATTCTATGTATAATCTTGAAGATTGAATTAATTTCTCTTAAATTCTGTGCAAAAAGATGGATTTTTTTTTTTTTTTTTAAATCCTGACTCTTACATGGTAAAATACATTAGACAAGTATAAATTGTACATGTAACTGATTTTCCTATAACAAATTCCTATTTACAAATGTGACTTGTTCAATATTTTTGATTTTATGAACTGTTAAGTTTTCAAATTAACTGTCATTTAGAAGTAGCAAGGTTGCCATGGTAATGACTTTTCCCCCTCTCCAGTTTTGATGTTTTACTGAGCAAAGTGTTAATAAAATTTTCAACATCTGTCTAGTTTTCACATTGTCTATTTTGTTCTGAATATTTCATATTGGTCATTCTTCTGATCTGACAAGGTGATTTTTTTTTTTTTTTATTTGTATATGAACTTGATTTTTTTTTTTAATTTTATTTTTAAACCAAAGTACAAGAATCCTTTGTCTATTTGAAGCTATGGAATGTAAACTTTAACTTCATAGTACACACTACAAACTCTTAACCATAAATGTTTAAGAATGTAATGGAGTAATCCTTCATGTAATTTAGATGAAGTCATTAAATTGAAAGTTTATCATTGTAACATGGTAAATGAAACTGTGCTCATTCATAAATTGACTAGATCTCTGGTTTCTTATCAACTAGCTAGATTTGTGATAGAATAGCTTATTCCAGAAGTACTTGGTTAATGCATGATGCTTTAAATTTCTGAACAGTTAACGATGCAAAAGTACTGTCTTAATAATTAGTGCCATAATTTAAGCAATTTGCATTTTAGTCAAAGAATGTGAAGTTGAAGTTTGACTTGATCATCCTAACTCAGCACCTTAAAGAATCACTTTGCTTTTGGATATATTTGGTTTATACAGGATGTGACAGAAATACCTCCCACATAATAGTAAGGCTTTAGTAGCAATGGCATCTTCATTTAGTTAATGTCTTGCCATTATTTCTGCTGCACCCTGTATATAAATATTACTGCTTATCACTGTCAATAACTCAAAACATAACTTAACTCAAAACATTACATAACTTAACTCAAAACATTACATAACTTAACTCAAGTGATCATTAATAGGTCAATATTAAATAAGCCTTATAGAATTATATTAAATTTATGTAGGGAGGGAATATGTCACCATTTATCCTTGTTTAGGATATAGAAACTAAAAAAAAAAAATTTACTTGAACTAGTTTTGATTAGTTGTATAGTGTTCTTGCCAAACTATTTTGGGTGCTGAAGTAATCTGTTCATAGAAACTTTTTTCTTCTAATGTTCACCCAATAAAAGGCCCAAGAGCCACTCAAGGTAGAGGGTTACTGTGTAGTTGTATTAGCATAGGAAAGACAAGTGTTAGGAGTATAGAGCTGAAGTAGACTTTAGAAGGAACCAGAAACCAATCCTAAACAGGAAACAAGGGATAAAACTCTACTCCTGTTTAAAAGACCAAGGAGTGGTGTGAACCAGACAAGATTTTTAAATTTTTATCACTTTGTTTATATATGAACAAATCCTTGGAAAATTTAAATCAATTTTTTTTTTGGGGGGGGCAGGACCCCACATTTCCAGAAAACCCTGACCAGAATTATAAAAAAAATCTTTTTTTTAATTAGAAAAGCTTTTAATTGTTTTTATGAACAAGACATTGTGGACACTAGTCTTAAACTTTTCAATAAGTAATGACTTTTTACAAGTGCCTTAATTTATTTTAATTAGAATTTTAAGACTGTGTTCATTTGTAGTGGCAAAGTGATATTGTTATTAAATTAAAACTTTAATCGTAAATGGAAATGCTCACTACAATTCAATGAATCTCCAGGATTTTAATTTTGGAATTTTATTTTATTTTTTTCATTTTATTTGCATGTGCATGCATTATCAGAAAATAAGTACTGATATCCAATTTAAAACTTTTTCTAACATTTTCTCATTTTTCCTAGATAATGTACCTAAAAACTAGAAATAAGATTGGGTAAAGGAAAGAAAATAAAAATGTCATTGATATTGTATTTTTTTTTTTTTTTTTTTTTCAGTTCTGTCCCCCTTATTTAAATTTTCCAACAACACTCAACAGGTCAACAAAAACTAATTTTTCTGAATATTTCAGAAAAGTAAACTTTAATTTTTCAAAGTTGTTGTTTGTTTGTGTCTTTTTTTCTTTTACAAATCTCTCTCTCCAAAAAAAAAAAAAAAAAATATTGATTTTTATTGATGAAAAGATCATAGTCAATTTTGTGTGTACACCTAATTTTAAGTGGCCCTTTCCTCGACTTTGCTGACGGATTCACATTTTTACATCCCTTCAATGCTTCACAATAGTTGCTCACAAATGCATCTAGGAAACTCGGACCTTTCTGTAACCAGCACAAGAATAGTTTAACGTGTTTATACTCAACCAAGGATTAAAAGCTAGTACGAGAAATAACCTCCCGGTGCTAAATAAGGTGTGACTGTGACAACACGAGAGAGAGGTAGCCTCTTCTTAGTCTTGCCATTCATTTCATTGCTCTTACGAAAGCGTTTGTCATCTACACCATATTCTCTCTAGTCTGTGACTACTGCATCCTCATCATTGGCTGTGGTATTTTGTTCCTTTTGTGTGTTTGTGGTTCTTCCTTGTCTATTCTATGTACATAACTTTTATTCCACTTCTTCCCTTTATGCCAGAAACCCCGATTGTCCGCCATGATGAACACTCCACACTTTCCTGTTACCTCCTCAACAGCTCATCTCTTTCTCTCTCACTCTGTCATAAACACCTTTCTCTCCCACCACCTTCTATAGCACATTCTTCTCGATCTCTTTGCATGTTTCCTTCTGTCTCTCTAACCAACGCCCTCTTTTTGCCTCTCCTTCTCATTGTTTCCTCGTCCTACTCCTCTCCTTCCTATTCTGTAATCCTTGGCAGCCATTTTGCCCGACTGAAACACTCCCTCCAACAAACAGCAGCAGCAGCTAGTTGTTGTTGTTCGAGGTGAGTTTGCCAGGCATACATACCTAACCTACCTAAGTAAGTAAAAACGTTAATTCCAATCGATTTTTCTTTTACCTCTCGCCTAAACTTAAATCTACGCTTATTATACAGGACTCTCATTTCTCCCCCTTTTATTATAAATAATCCATATTCTCTTACTTTATTTTTAAGCTAGTTTAATCTCTACCACTTCATAATCCACTTTCTGTAAATGTTGAGTGACTAGCTCTGCTTCTTTTAATAAAGAAGCGAAGCAGTTGATTGGAATTTCAGTTACTGGCTTGCTAAACCGCCAACTGGTTAGAAAAAAGAGGCTTAATCATATAATTGTCGGCACTTGTGGCTGTCTTTTATATAGGTTCATATTTATCCGTGTTTCAAAGTATCTCTAACCTGTCTACTACTGTACTCGTCAGTGGTTTGAACTTCAACAGTGAAGAATTATTTTCTGATCTTGGCCCATTACTTTTCCTCGTTTTCTTTTCTTCGTTGGTAGTAGCCACTATATTGTTCATTCTATCGAGTCTTATAACATGTTTAACTTGAAGCCAATCCTTTATGTAACAATCTTTTTTTTTTTTTTTTTTTTTTTTTCTTATTCAAAAAAAGAATCCTTCAAGCTGTTCCAAAAATGTTTTAAGTTATTAGGAAGTGATGACTCAAAATGTCTGCATTATTTTAGATGTGAACAAATACACAGATTAAAAAATGGTACCCCCAACTGGTATAACTTAAAACTTCTCTTGAAAAAAAATAGGATTTCGTGTTTTGATGTTTTTAGCTTTATTTTTAAGTCATAATTGGAAACAAACAAATTTTTAAAAAGAAAAACAAAACTGACAGTGATAATGGCGCTCTGTTTTAGGGTCTTTGCCCGACAAGCGACCTTCTAACATCGTAAGGTTTTAGTTTTCAGAGAAATAAAGAAAAATTACTGTATAATTGTGAAGTCCCGTTTGTTCTAGAAATAAAACCGGTTTCTTTTTTTTCCTCTTTCCTGGCTTCGTTAAGGACATAAAATTGTACAATCCTTAGTATTATTCTCGTAAAATTCTAGCGTATACGGTTATTGAGCTCTTGTAAATGAAATCACTTACCAAAATTACAATATTTAAATTGTAAATATTGTGATGAGTTCTTTCATAAATCTGATTTATAAAAATGAATTTCCTGTTTAGTTCAAGAATTTTTTTCTTGAAGTCGCATTGTTACTAACACGCTTATGTATATGCACGCGCATATATATATATATACACATACATAAACTATTTTAATCTGAGTTTTTTGTGTGTGTATATATATATATATATAGAGTATTGTTCGTCACGCCGATACTCTTCCTCATCTAAAGCCAAAAGGTACAAATGAAAAGAGGGGAAGGGAGGAAAAGAATTTTAAATTCCTCGGTCGCCATATTGCTTTTTTTACCAGTCTATTTCACTTGATACTTGCGTAACTTTTTAGTAAGGAAAATTAGTCCTTCCTTTATTTTATGTAACCATATTCTGGTCACAATACCGATCTAAACTTGTTCTAACAATAATAAATGATGAATTCGTTTAAATAGCGGATGAATGTGTCCGCGTTGAGTATAAAGAAAATAAATCTATTTCGATAGACAGAAGAGTTCTTATGAAAGGGGCACTCACAAAATTTATTTTTTCTCTAATCATTGAAGGTAACAGTGTAATTTTAATTGTTTTTCCTTAATTGAAATAATTTATTCCATTCTTTTCTGTGCGTTAGCTTTATAATCCAACTAAAACTAGGAATAAAATAACTTTTCTACAGGAGTGATAATTTTTCCAAATATGAACATTTAAATTTTTATTTAAATAAGGGTTTAGTCTTAAAATTCATATTTAGTAAATCAGTCCAAATTAAGAATATCCATATTTATTTATTTTTTTTTTTTTTTTTTTGTTGCTCGTTTTATTTCGCTCTTCCCTCCCTCTCCCTAAAATCAGACGATGTCTCTTGCAGAAGCTTTATTATTACTAATATTACTCTACCGATATGTTGTGTATAAAAAGTAGGTCCTCGCGATAATTAACTATATTTTGAGTAAAATATTTTAATCTCTACATTCTAATTAATTGAAACATTATTCTGTCTTCGATTTTATTCATCTTAAGCGGAGACCTTTCTTCGGCCGACATTTTTTATTTTTTAGATTTGCCTGTTTCCGGTTGGAAACTTAATCTTATTTTCTCATTTCCATCCAAAATTTTCCTTGGTTTTATTCGCATAATTTTAAAACTGAAGATATTTCCCATCTTCCACCGTATGCTATGGTTAATCTGTTGTGAAGAATTTAATAAATGGGCAACAGTACCATCTGATTACTGACTTTGTAACCATCTGACCCTGCTGCTGCTACTAGTTATTCACTTGCCCCACCCAAATGCAGTCAGTCTTTCTCTCTCTCTCTCCTCTTCGTTCTACCTACACGATTATACATCAGCTATTTCAACGACCTATTTTATTTACTACCTCCACTTCTGGCAATCTTGCTCCTCTTTAAACTTGTATTCTTTCTTACCGTTAAATATAAAGTTGAATTTATAACCTACTTGACAATGCTGCCCTTGTCTTTCGGTTTAAGATCTTTAAAAGCATTTTTTCCTCTTGGAACTTTGTTTATTTGCAACTTTTACATATTTTGCCTATTCCTATCAAGTTATTTCTAAAAAAATATTCCTTTTTTTTTTTTTTTTTTTTTTTTTTGTTGTTAAAGACCTAAAGCAAATTCTTTTGACATAATACTGGTGGCGACCGCCGCCACAAGACAACACTACTGCTTTGTGCGTTACGTTTTAAAATGCATATCGCACCATGATGGTTAATGTCCATAAGCTTAAGCATGTGGGATATTTTGATGCATAATGTTTTTGTATAAATGTAAATAATATACATATTGAAGTTGTTCGTGAACCAAGACTGAACCTGTAGTTTACTCACCACCACCACCCCCAGTCTTTATTCGACTTTTCTCGTTCCTTACCTATTCCCAGTCTGTTCTTTCTCTGACTGCTCTGTATTGGCTAGTCAACAAAAATAAAATTATCACATTATTAAACATTTGGAAGCATAAACTGAAACACTTCACTTAAGTTTTTCAAATTATGCTCGACTTCGAATCTGGTATTATTTTTATTTTTTTTTCCTGAGTTATGTCTTTCACTAATAATAATATTGTAAATGGTTGGAAGATGTGGCTAACAAAGGAATAGCTGCATTGCTCATGTAATTAAGTGATGCCAATTTCTTTCTGCCAGGCATTTACCTTTTTTTTTTTTTTTTTTTTTAGCAGCTTGTCTTAGCCGATTATATTCTACGACATTTCTCAGATTTCATTTTCCGTAATCTGGTGTGCAAAACAAGTTTTTTTTTTTTTTTTTTTTTTTTTTTACTTCACATTGCCGGAAAGACTTTTCCGCATTATGTACTTGGGAAGGCCGTAGCATTTAGATCGATCATCTGGGGTTGTGGGGATGGCTGTCTAACTAAAAAAGCTTAACCACTAAATTTTTATCAGGCTTTTTATTATTGCGCTTTATCTTCCCGTGACTGTAATTATAAAATATCAGTTTGCCTTAAAAAAAAAATGTAAAATTAAAAACAAAGCAAATTTGACATGTCTGGGAGAGTATTCGTTTAACAAATAAGATCTTTAACTTTAATCCAAACATGGCTCATTGACTATAATAGTATAAATCTATAAGTGTAAATGTAATAGCGAATATATACGAGATTACTAAAAAAAAAAATTTTTTTTCTTTTTAAACCTGCAATCATTAACATAGTTTATATTTTAGTATCTAAATATTCATACTATTCACGTTGTTGAAAATAAACTTAATCTTTAAGGGTTCGGTTGTAGAACGAAGACTACAATTTTACATTCAATTGTAAGTTTTACAATGTTATTGTTATAGCATTGCTCTCCCTTACATCGTGTTCACAATTAAAACTTTGCTATAAAGACAGAATTTTAATTTTATCTGACTTGCATTTCGTTCGTTTTTATATATAGCGCACACACCCTCTAAAATCGTAATTTTGGCTGTGGCCATTACTTCAGGGAGGTTTCGTTTTGAAATTAAAATAAAGCATTAAGTTACTTTCATTTGGACTATTTTCGTTTCGCTATAGAAATAAATGGCTTACTAGACATTTGATGATTTGATAAACTCTCGTGCAGGTAAATTTGTATGCTATTTAGCTCTTGATCTTTATCTTCTGATGTGAAGATAAAAGCTTTCAAATAGAATGATTTACAAAAAAAAAACAAAACTCGCTCTAAAGTGCTCATTTTAAAAATTCGAATAATTTAATCATTCGATTATGTAAGATTTGCTAAAAAATAAGGCATGCTTAATTTTATCGTCAATAAGGATTTTTTATTTTTACAAAATCTTGATTATATTTTTTATTTATTTTTATTTTTTTTTTTACTCTCCCACTTTCCACACACATTTAATTCTATGAAATTGAGAAATTCAATTTTGGAGGGCTTGATAAGCAGGTTTTTTTTTTTTTTTTTTTTTTTACTGAAAATCTGATTTATAAAAATATAAAACTAAGACAGAAGCTTTTAATTGCTTTTTATGAATAAGATATATGGTGGCTTGTCTTAAAAAAAAAAAAAAAATTTAATTTATAGTTTTACTTTTAAATCTTAATTTTATCTTAATTTGTACCAGTTGGATGATAAAAACTTGCCTTATCAATGGAAAACCTTACAGTTCACCACCACCCCACCCTCATTGTATTTTAAAACCTTTTTTAAAGTACCGATTTTGTAAATACAGACGTCTACCAGAAAATAAGAGCAGTAGCTATAATAAATTTAAAGCCAAGGTACCTAAAATTCAATAAAGCATTAAATTTTTCCTATATTTTAAAAAGATTAAAAAGAAAAAACTGCACTCACTCTTAGTCTTCTTGTATATTCAAGTAATTTTTACAGATGTCTCCATAGACTTTATTCTAGAACTTTTTTTTTTTCCTGTCAAGATAGTTATCAACACCTCCATAACAACAACCTCCCTTTTTTTTTTTTTTTTTTTTTTTTTTTTTAAATTCCTCCCAATGAATTTAAATTCATTTTGAAATGCAAAGTATTTTGCTTATTGAAAATATAAAACTTAATTTATTAGTTTGAAATTAAAACTAAAATTTTTTTCATTTTTAAACTTAAACTTTTTTTTTTTTTTTTCCTCTTTGGATTTACCAGGTGTTCCAGGTTAAACACAATTTTATTTGCATATTTCAATTTGATTTGTGAAAACTGAATACCAACTATCATTAAAAGAAACTAACTATAAATTCTCCCACTTTTCAAGAATTTAGTCAGCTTAGGGAAAGAAATTAAGTTTAGAGACCTTTTTCTCTTTAAACTTTTATACTGTCATCAATATTGCTTAAATTCAACTTATTTTTTTTTTTTTTTTTTGTTTTTTTGTTTTTTAACAGATTTTGAAGCTCCAATGGCTGCTATTAGGAAAAAACTGGTCATTGTGGGAGATGGTGCATGTGGTAAAACCTGTCTGCTAATTGTATTCAGTAAAGACCAATTCCCCGAGGTCTATGTCCCTACAGTTTTTGAGAACTATGTAGCAGATATAGAAGTAGATGGCAAACAGGTGAGTTACATATTGCCTTCAGTAGTATTTTGTATATTAAAAGGAATCTACAGAAAATTGTTCAAACTTCTATTGGTCTCTTCATTGTTCAGCAAATGCATTATTGGTTTAACATTACTTGGACTCTTGAAATGTTCCTGAAAAATATTTCAAGCACTCTTTTTCTTTTCTTTTCTCTTTTTTTTTTTTTTCTTTACTAGAAATGTGTGCCTGTACAATTCTGGAAAATCCTCTATTAATGTGAAGGAACTATCAATTTATTTATCCCCTTCACATTTTGGGTTATTGGTGCTCAAATTCCTCTTCCTATTTTTTTTTTTCTTTTCTCCTTTTTGAGTACATTTGGACTATAATTGAAAATTTTAATTTTTTTTAATTTTTTTGTGTGTGTGTGCTGATATCAGATTCTGTACTTATTTTCCAATGCATATGGAGGCCAGTTGTGACTCCCTCCCCTATTTTTATAACGATTCCTTTCCAGATTCACCAAAAAATTGTGAAACCTTCTCTACTAAAAAAATTTAACTGGAGCTCTCCATGCCCTGCTTAGGTTTCTTAAGTTAAGTGTCTTCCTCTCCCACTAAATTTTCAATTTTGGAGTTGGTATTTTCTCACCTTCAATGTTTCTAATGGGTGATGTCTGGTGACCTTTCAGTTGTGATTTGATTTAATTTTTAACCAATTTTACAAATGTTACTTGGAACATTCTGGGAGTTAGGTTTTCAACAGCTCTATTAATTCTATATGCAGACTCTTCTTCCTGACTGGCTACTCCTCAAACAATTTAGTGTTTTTGAGTAGGGCCAAATTCATGTTCATGGTCTCCATAAACACCATTAGCTATCAATTTTGTGGAAATATCTACTTGGTCCTTTTTTTTTTTTTTTTTTTTTTTTTATCATTTATGTTACACCAAAGATTGAATAGGAATTTTTTTTTTCTTTTTGAAATTTTATACACAAATTTCTCTCTAAACAAATCAGCTGAAACTTTTTTTTTTTTTTTTTTTTTTTTTTTTTTAAATAAATATTCATTGGGATTTGGGATGGTAATTTTGTTAGGTCTTAGTGTTGCTTTTGGTGTTTTCATTATTTAGTTGTTTTTGATTTTATTTATTTTGTTTTCTCTGCTAAAACTATTATGGGCAAGATGTTATTTTGCCAATATCGCGAATTTGCAAAAAGTGATTCTTCTACAAGTGGTGTATTAAAACTGATCACTGGGCATTTTCAACTGAAGCTGCTGTATTGTTCAGGTAAGCAAACCTTAAAAATTTAAGTGCATGCTGTATTTAAAAAAGAGTTCCTAAATTTAGATTTGGTTTCTCCTAAAATGTAAGTCACCATTTGAATTAGTTATAGTATAAAATGAGACTAATTTTAGTTTTTAGTGCTTTAAAAAATTTCTGTTGTGGATTGAAGAAAAAAAAAAAAATTGCATGCAGTTAGTTTTACAATTCAGTTTTTTTTCTTTGAGCACTGTACTGCTGCCTGGCTTCTACTTGTCTGTGAAGAAAAAAATCAGTAAAGTGAGCACCAATCCATCAACTTGGAGATGTGCTTCTTACTGCTTGTTAAGTCTTTTAATAAAGACTGGTAAAGTGGTCCTTATGTAGAAACAAAAATACTAAATGCTCAACTTAGCTCATATTTCATATTTTTGGCAGATGTCATTTTATTGACTTTGTCTTGATACTTTTTTTCCATTGAACTGAAGCTTATTAAAAAATAACTTCAATCATTTCTTGGCTTAAAATATTGAATTTTATTCTTGCCAAGCAAGCCAGATAAACAGTAATTAACTAGCTTTGTTTAATATTTGAATCTTGTTTAAAACTGCTTTGCTTTTTAAGTTTAAAAGTTTTGAGCATTGCTTTGTTGCACTGATAAGTGTCATTTGCTTTGATATACATTGGAATGTTGGTTATCCAAACACAGATTATCTGAATTACAGATGTTCTATAAACTTAAAGGTCCTATGAATACTGAATTTTATTTTATTAAAGAGTACAAATCTGTTAGAAGGGGATTTTGTTCAAGTGATGGCTGGTCACATTCCTGAAGAATGTGTACTTTAAAGCATTTAAATATCAACACTTTTTTTTTTTTTTTTTTTTTTTAACATGAAACGTGACTTAAAAAGGCATAACAAAATAAGGCAACTGAAAACTCGCTACGTTTTTTCATTATTTAAACGTAGCCTTATTTTGAGCCAAGTCCTACATTTTTGCTCATTTTATCAATTGAATGAATGCAAACCCTTTAAGCCTGCTTCTGTGTGTTGCTATAACTTGGATAATTCAATTATCTGAACAAATATTTTGTTCAGATAACTGACGTTCCACTGTTTTGTTATTAGTAAATTATGAAGTCCTGTCTTTTGTATTAAAACTTAAGCTTTGTTTGCTTATCAGTAATGTCTAAGCAAAATTCTATTGGATTTCTTTACATTTTCTCTAAAGGACATGAAATTTTAAATTCTATTTTAAACTGGAAAATATTTTATACCTATTTCAGGTGAGTGATATTTTTGAATGAAGCACAAAATCCAAGTTTTAATGTCTGTCATTCTATATCACTTGTGTTCACTTCAGAGCCTCTCACTTGGAATGAAGAGTAAATCTCACAGTAAAAAATTTTTTTTTCTTTTTTTTTTCCCCCCCAATAATTTCATTATTATACTGAAGGTTACAACTTGCCAATTTTAGAATTGACATAAAAATAAGTCAGTCTGTAATAAACTAAATCCTTTACAATCTCCATTTTTGTTTAGAAAAAAGTTTTTAGCCTGTTGTCATGCATTTTGACACTGGGGTTTGTTAATACCAAGCAGCAAATTTACTTCTGGAAAAAATTTGGGTGTTGGCCTTACTGGCTGCTGCTGTCATATGCGAATTTGGTTGATGTGTCAGCAGTGAGGAATATCCGGCTCTAGTTACCTACTTCATAAAGTTTCCTGCCTTCTTGTTGCTATTAGTTGCCATAAAACTGGGTCAGCTTTCAATAATAAAAGGGTGAGGTAATTGTACAGTTAATAATCCAGACTCAACTTTTTGAAAAGCCTTGTCTTAACCAAAAGCTTTAGTCATAGTTTATTACTGTGGTAATATACATGTATCTACCTCTATGTAACATACAGCTGGAGCAGCATGTGTTTATATTAAAAGTAAGTCACCATGATGTACTTGATGGTGCTAATATTGGCTATATTAGTAATGTTAGACACTTAATATTTGTTATAACCCTATTTTTTGCTTGGAAAAGTTCCCTCTTTATTACTCTCGACTAAGGCAAATTAATATTCTTGTAAAGGTCATGGCAGTTAACATTTGAAACCAGCTAGTCCCCCCCACCTGTGATCACTCTCACTTTATTCTTTCTTAGAATACAAGGAATTTATTGCAATCCATTATACCTCTGAAGTCAATCATTAAAATAACTAAGTTTATGCCTTTTTATTTAGATTTTGTATTGCTTTTAATGTTTACTACATTAACAGCTACTTGCTTATGCTACTAGTGCACCCCCCTTTTTTTTTTCTTTTTTTTTTTTTATTTTATTTTAGCTGAATATTTTTAGGTTTTCAGCTTGTCTGTTAGTTCATCTGTTTGGCAGTTAAAAGCTGTTTTACCTGCTTCTCATCACCTTCACGGTACTATTTTGATAAATCTTGAATATTGAAATCTAATTTGGCCTTTTGGAGTAAGCTATATCTTAGACACTTAAAACCTTGTTTAGTTTTATTTTACCTTCTTGACTCAACACTTTCTTAATTTTGCTTGACAGTAAAAGTATTGAACTAAATGACAGTTAAATTTAAGTAGTTATAGAAATTAGTTATTCCAATTTTATCAAATTGGAATGCTTGCTGTATTACCCTCTTTTAAACCTTTTAAAAAGGACTGAATTCAGATTTATAAATTTTACAAATAAAATAAGACATTATTATAGAGGCACCTTTTTAGAATGTTGCTAAGATAGTAAATGTGTAGTCTTTCTGTTAATAGCAATTGGCATCATACAACCTAATTGTCAGTTTCATAGTTTCCATCACTTATGCAATAATTTAAAAGCTTGTTTTTAATTAAGTAATTGGTTCTAAGTAATCTTAATATACTATATATTGGCATACTACTGACTATAAAATCTGTGCTATCTATGTATGGAATTCTTACAAATATAGGCTTAAAGATATTGAAAAAATATAAATATAACTTGGATTTTTTTTTTTCTCTCTCCCTCCTTACATTTTTTTTTTTTTAAAAGCTTCAACCTGGTCAGATTGTTGTAGACTGTCAGCATGTTTTAAAAAGACTTCAGGTGTTTTTATTTCCCACTCTCCTAGTTATGAAAAATTTGTGGTAGCATCTCTTCATAACACTGGCATTACCTAACAGTAAGATTTCTCTGGTCATTCTCCCTAATTATTAGTTCCTATTTGTCTCTTGCTGTGGTGAAGCAAGTTTATTTAGACATCAGTTTTATATTAGTTATTATCTGTATCTACTTGCACCATGGCTAATTCTTGTCATATTTTGTAGAACTTTGCTTAATTCAGTGTGGTTGAAGAAATTGCATGGATAATATACTTAAGTGCATGGAATAAACTTGTTAGCATGTTATTTGTGCAGAATCATTTGAGTGTAAGCAAACTGGTTTTAACCTCTTTAGAGTTTTTTTTTTTTTTTTTTTTATTAAAGTCCCTGGCTCAAAAAAAAAATTGTCACCCTCTTGTTCTATAAACAAGAGGATGAACATTTCCTGTAAGTTTTACAAACTTTTTGGAGAAATTTAGTTTGTTTTGTTTTTTGTTTTTTTTGCTTTTATTTTTTCATAATTTGGTTTCCCTTGTGGAAAATACTTATATAAACTAATACCAAACTTAAAATTTGAAAATCTGTACAAATATTAGTGTTTGTAAAAGACTTATCCAATCAGTAAATAGCTTTAATTTCTATTTTGATTTTACTCCCCTTTCAAACTGATGTAAATATTTTCATCTTAATAATGAAATGAAACATCATTGCCCAGGTTTGGCTTGGCTGTTCACGGAGAATACAGGTAGATTTTTTTTTTTTTTTTTTTTTTTTTTTTTTTTCCCTTCCTTAATGGGTCATTTGCATTAAACTATAAAAGTATTAACTTTTATTAATACTACTTCACTAATTTGTTTCTGTGACTACCAACTTATCCTAAACAATTATTCAAATGAAAACTTAGTGATGCAGAAGTGGTTAAAATTACTAAATTGAGTTATATCCCCATCCACCCAATTACAAGCTTTCCTTCCCTCATTTCTGTGGTGTGTATTTTATAAATATGCACAGTGTTGGAAATTACTTACAAACTATGCTACTGTGACAAACACTTGTCACCTTTTTTAGAAAAAGGTTTTTGAGTTTAGCATGGCTTCTTTCTGTCCCTCTCCCTTTCTCTCCGGCTTTTTTTTTTTTTTTTGTGTGTGCCTTGTTGCAGCTGTTAGGTATTCATTTATACCTAAATTTGCTAGTTAAATCACCTCAAAAAAAAAAAAAGCAGTCTTCAGATTCTCCATAACTCTTCACTAATGCTATTTATTGGTTATTTTTTTTTTTTTTTTTTTTTTTTTTTTATCAATTCTCCTCCCTACAAAAAAAAAAATTGCCTGTTTGATTCTGCTTCTAAGTAAGCAGTTCTCAATTTTCTAGTGCCTCTTGGATATTCTCACCTGTCCCTAAGTTTGTTGTGTCTAAATTCCCTAAGAATATAGAAATGTCTCCATAGTGCTTCTAATAGGTTTTGCATTAGAGCCTTAGCCAAATCCATGCGTCTTTACTATTGCTTGCCTAAACCTTTCATGGACTGCCAACTAAGGACAGGCATGAAACTTTCCCTTTGCAGTGGGAGGGAGCTTTCACAATTACAGAAAATGTTGCATGTCAATTCTATTAGTTAAATTGTTCAGAAACTCCTAAGTGGTGGCAAAAACCTAGGAAAATCTTGCTTTAATTCTAATGAATTTTTGTAGCATTTCAAAATTCAGAAAATGTATGGATTTTGAATCAGAATTTTATATTAACTTACAACTTGAATCTATTCATAAAACTAAACTGTATTCTGTCCTGATCACTGAGCTGCATTCATATTTATATTAAGCTTAGTTTGTCTACTAGAAAGTCTTAAGTTTGTATTTTGATTTATGAAATATCTGAAACTGCAGTTTTTTTTTGTTTTTGTTTTTTTTTTTTATGTATAGAAAACTTAAATGGGGGAATATTTTGTTGAGCTGCAATTTAAAAAACACAAAACTCCTGGACGAGAAAACTAAACATCATTCATAATCTTATTTAAATGTTAATTTAAATATGGTTAAACTAAAAGACCAGCTTTTTAAATTGATTCATTTTGAAACTTAAAAAAAAAAATTGCTGGATAAGTATTTCTTTTTTACTTTTTGAAAGACTCCTTTAAATATTTTAAATGTTTCATTTATTTTAAATTTTTCTTTACGGAAATGTTGTATTTATTTCAGGTTGAACTGGCACTATGGGATACAGCGGGTCAAGAGGATTATGACAGATTACGGCCCTTGTCTTATCCAGATACAGATGTAATTCTTATGTGCTTCTCAATAGATAGCCCTGACAGTTTGGAGAATATTCCTGAGAAGTGGACCCCAGAAGTGAAGCATTTCTGTCCTAATGTGCCAATTATATTGGTAGGCAATAAAAAAGATCTGCGCAATGATGATGTGACACGCCGAGAATTGGCCAAGATGAAGCAAGAGCCTGTTAAGGCTGAAGAGGGCAAGTCAATGGCTGACAAAATTGGTGCTTTCTCTTACTTGGAATGTTCAGCTAAAACTAAGGAAGGTGTACGAGAGGTGTTTGAGACTGCAACCAGGGCAGCTTTACAAGTCAAGAAAAAGAAGAAAGGCAAATGTATTTTGTTCTAGGAAGGTTTTCATATTTTTATAGTCCAATGATATCTGAAAGATTCAATGGTCTTTCCAAATGTATCCGTGTTTGTCTTTCTTGATAAATATTCTTGACAGTTGCTGATTGTAATGGTATGCACAACCATTTCCAAAACCTTTAAACAATAAAAAAAAAAATTTTTTACAATCCTTCTGGAATAATTTTAATGGTGAATAATATTGCCAGCATCAACAGTGGTTCTTTATAAAGAAAGTGCTAACCAGTTTTCAACATGAAATCCTGCTACTCTTGTCTGCTGTTCTCATTTGCATTTTTCCTTACCAGCTTGTCATGAGACAAGGCTTTTTTTTTTTTTTTTTTTTCTTCCTTCAAAAGAAAATGCAGCACTTGCTACTGCCCTCACCAGCATGACATGACTGACCATTTGACCAACAGACCACTATTCCTTCAGTTTTTTTTTTTTTTCTACTCTCTCTCTCTCTCTCTCTCCCTCTGGTTCCTTCAATGATCCTCCACTCCAAGCAAGCAGCAGTAACAAGATAGACATTCTGGGCATGTTCAGCTGTGACCTTGGCTCTTTTGTGCAATTTCACCTCTTTCCCGTGTCTGTATGGTCATCCCCACCATTTTTTTTTTTTTTTTTTTTTTTTTTCCTTGGGTGTGGGGGGGATCATGCATGTATTCATGTTCTAGAAGAGGTTGCAGTTGGATGGTAAGTGGGGAAGTGGAGTTTGACCATCTTTTTGGTTGGCATTAGCAGTGGCACCACTGTTAAAAAAAAAATAAATAAAAATAAAATTTAATTTAAATGTACTGACGGCAGCAGCATCAGTAGTAGAATCTTGCATTATTCTCTGGAAAATCTCGATCTGGATACAAAATAAGCAAATCCTACTGGATACAAAATATTTTAAGTTACTAATAACACCCATTTGCTCCTGCTTTTTTTTTTTTTTTTTTTTTTTCTTTCTCTTTCTCTCCCCTCTATTGTCATATTTGGAGGCTATCCCTAAACTAAACCCCCATCTTTAATGCTACTAGACCCCCTCACTTGTATTATGTATCACATTTAAATGTGCTTATTTGGACAAGGTTTGTACAATAGATGCAACCTTGTATATTAGTTGCTGCTGCTAAGATCAAAATTCTATTAATTTTAGAAGCCTTCTCAGCACTTACTAACAGTTTCACATTCCACTAGATTTCTTAGGTGTTTATTCTCTCCCTCTCTTCTATCTGGGATTTTTGTAGATTTCCAGTTCTGCTTCTGTGATCAGTTACTGCATTTTGTAAATTCTTGGCATATTCTGCCACTTGATACTTTTTTTTTTTTTTTTTTTTATATGAAGCAATTATAGTTTAAAATCCAAAATATATTGCTGCTGTCCATGGCAACTCCATTTTCAGTTTTAATGGCCTTAGTGCCTTATAATAATTAAAGTTGTCTTCTGGCTTGCAATGAAAGCTGCTGCAGTGTGTGACAACTGTTGGTATGTCCCAAAGTTTGCTTGCTTGTGTCTTGTTTCTTGAACTGGCAATACCAATATTAGTCCTATGTTAAATCTTAAGGAAAATTCTTAGTTGGTATCCATACCTTCCCCAATACTTGAACATTAAGAGCTAAAATTTACTATCTCTGCATCTGCTCTTTAATTCAAGAGAACAAACACGTTTCTAGACGGTGAAACACTAAAAGATGCGAATGTTAAATTTGTTTACCTTCCCAAACTTATTTTAGTAATTACCAATGCAGTGATGGGGTAACACCCCACTTTCTCTCTCCTCCTAATGAAATTTATTTCCCTATATCTAATATTAATTGGATGAAAAACTTGTATAGATTAGTCAGAAGTAATTGTCCTCTTCCAAATTTTTTTCTCTTTGCTCTTCCTTCACAAAAGTTACATGGGATTCATCCAGCATGCAAAAATAAAATGCTATACCCCTTTTGATGAAGGGGCTAACAATTATACTTCTGCTTTATGATGGAGATAAGTAAATGCTACTTCTGATTACCTCCGTCATCATCATCACCACCACACACATACAGCTATTAAAGGGCAATTGGAAGTCATTTAAAAGCCAAAGCTGATCTGTCAAACTTTCATTCTGAAGAATTTTTATATATTTATGCAGAAAGTTATTTTGAAACTTATTCAACAGCTTTAACTCTGGCGAGAAAAGAACTGGTATATTTAGTGCGACCTATATCTCTTAGTGTTTTTTTTACTTTTTTTTTTTCTTTCTTCTCTAAAAGCTTTGCTTGCTTTATTTGCACCCCCCATTGCTCTGACTAGGACTCTCTCCCTACATAGTCCATGTCTATATGGATTTTCTGCAAGTATTAGTCTATAATTCTTGCCCCCCCCCCTCTCCAATTTAGAATCCACTTTGTTTAGGCTACTGATGTTAGTAAAAAGGGGGGGGGGCATCAAGAGTTAGTGGAGGGTAAGCCTCTTAACAAACAAAACTTGTGCATCATTATCATTTGTTTGGCCATTGGTTGCCACTCCATCCCACTCCACCCAACATAACATACCCATGCAACTGGGGAAAAGAAAATCTAATAAAATTAGCTTCAAATTTCAATTTCACTTGATTGTACTTTTGCCATTCCTTTTCTGCATTCTTCCTGTACCAAAGGAAAAAAGGAAGCTGCTAATTCATGAAACTTTTCTTTGCACTACTTAAATTTAAAATTATTTTTTCCTACTGTTTCTAGTTTCATATTTATTTTACAATCTTTCAAATGACTTTATTTTGACAAGTTTTTCTGTACCCACTTCCATCCATCAATTTTAACTCTGACTGACGGAGACCACTTTGGTTTACCTCCCAATTTCCATAGTTTTGTTTTTAACTTAATTTCAATAAAGCCTTTTCCTCAGACGGTTACTCTCCAAACTACAACAGGTTGTAGTGGACCCCCCCCTCCTCTGTCAGTTTGATTGGATGACTTGCCCCTTTCTCCCTCAGAAATGTGGACAGTATGAGCCGAAGTTTCATTCTTCATTGTTGGTTAGGGGCTGACCTGCCCCATCCTTACCTGTCCTTTCCCTCGTCAACTTTCAATCCCCCCAGATTGTAGTTAAAGTCTCTTCTACTTTGTATCATGTGCTCGAAATAAATTTTGGCTGGTATTCTTCAATGTGTTTTGCCTTTTTTTTTTTTTTTCTCACTACTGTTTAATTTGCATTAATCTTGTCAATAACTGACTGAAATTCATTCACCAACTTTTTACATGTTATTTTCATACCTTTTTTATCTATATTTCAGTGTGTGTACACTATCTGGTTGTAAGGTAGAATTAATTAGAATTAAATAGTAATTTTTTTTCTTTTTTTTTTTTTTTTTTTTTTTTTATATAAGTAGCTGTTAAACTAATAAATTCTCTTTATTCAATGCCTGCGTGCTTTAAGAATATGTACACAGCACCCCCCCTGCCAATAAGTTGTGATTATTAAACCCCTATGACAAAATCTTTATCAATCCAGCCTTGCTGGTGTTGATTACACAGAACTTTTCTTTTTCTATATATATATATATATATATATATATATATATATATATAATAAATGAAGACTTGAGCTTTGAAAGGCTACAGTTTGAAATTAATCACTTTCCACAAGTAGATTGTTATTAGTACTGATTTCAAAATCCTTGCTACTTAATTAGTATTAAATTTTAATTTCCTTTATCAATCGGTTAGCTTTTTCAACTAGATGTAATATTAGTTGATGTTGGTTAACCAGCTTGATCATCTATTCCTAGAACTTGTTTCCTCTGCATTCCAACATTATATGGAAAATGCTAAAGTTAATGATTGAAACCAGGCAATATTCAAAATGATTGTTTGCTTTATTAATGAGATTTTTTTTTTTTTTTTTCCTTTCTCTCTCCATGTGATTCCATGAATATTTAAAAGGTGAACAAAATTTTCAGTTGCAAGGCATTTTATTATGCTTGTTTTAAGTTGATATTTGTAAGTCTTCTTTTCAAAATCTCAGGACTTTAAACCAGGCTTAAATTTGATTCATTGTTTATTTTAGAAACCTAAAATGGTGAGTATAATTGTCTTGTAAGTATTTATTTTGACTTTCAACAAATAACAGGCACGGGAAAGGCTAAAGGTTAGCATACAAAATGATGGCAGGAAATCTTTCACATTCATGAGATAAAAAAACATTGAAAAGTATTTAATAAAATCAATCATTCAAGAATATTCCAAAACTTAAGTTTTTTTTTTTTTTTTTTTTTTTATTATTATACTGGATTTGCAGTTAATATTGTAAACCAGGATTCTAGCTTTTTGATAGTTTAAAAAGGAAAAAAGTTTTAATGTTGCTCCCAGCAAAATATCTTAAAATCTGTAAACTGCCAAGTTCTAAAGCTATTGAAAAGTAATGTTGCATTAGGTTAAAAGGAAATGTTCTGTTGTAGAACAAATCCTCACAAGAAGTCAACATTACACTTTGTTAAATTTTTAATGGGGTTTTGTTTACTTTCAGGTTGAACTGGCTCTCTGGGATACAGCTGGCCAAGAGGATTATGATCGGCTGAGGCCCTTGTCTTACCCAGATACAGATGTGATTCTTATGTGCTTCTCAATTGATAGTCCTGACAGTTTAGAGAACATCCCTGAAAAGTGGACACCAGAAGTGAAACATTTCTGCCCCAATGTACCCATCATTCTGGTTGGCAACAAGAAGGACCTTCGCAATGATGAGAACACAAAGAGGGAACTAATGAAGATGAAGCAGGAACCTGTACGACCAGAGGAGGGCCGGGCAATGGCTGAGAAAATAAATGCCTACAGCTACTTAGAATGCTCTGCTAAGACCAAAGACGGGGTCCGTGAAGTGTTTGAGACTGCAACTAGGGCAGCACTTCAAGTGAAGAAGAAGAAGAAAGGGGGATGTGTCGTGTTGTAACTGGACTTTCATTTTTTTTTCTTTATAATATCAATATCTCTCGCCATTGTTAACAATTACACAAAAGGAATTTATTTCCTGTCATAACATTTTCCTCCCCCTTCCCCCCAACCTGACCTAGGTTTGTTTTTTATGGCTTGCTGCTTTTCCCTTTTTTCTTTCATTATCTTCTGTATTCATGTTTTAGTCCACCTGTACAAGTGCATATGATGATCTATCATCACTGGTCTACATTTGAGTTTGGTCTCTGCAGGATTTCAATTTCTTGGAACTTTATCCTTATGTATATAAATACCTGCTTACATGCACCCCCCCTGCTTACATTTCATACTCACATGATGGCCTGTAAATAAAGGTGGCATAATATATCAATAACAGGAAAAAGAACAAAAATCAAAACCAATGGTTCTAATAAATTAAAGAACACATTCTCATGCATGTTTGTAGGTATGGACCTTTTTGTCTATTACCAAAGGTGTTCATTTCTGCTCACCTTATTTCTAGAAGCAACAATTGAAACAACTTGTTGCTGTGCTAACATTCAGTTTAAACACTGATAAAGAGCACAAATCTTCAAAGCAAACAATTGCATATAACTTAAGCTGATGGCTTGGAAACTAGAATTTTTCTATTCTCGGATATCTACAGTATCTCAAAAATGACTTCCCAATAACATTTTATTGTAGACTCATTTTAATGAAATACTGTGTGTGTGTGTGTGTGTGTATATATGTACATACATGGTCACATTTCTGAAAACATTTCATCTCTTCCACGACAATTTCCTCTGACTTTCTCTCCATCATTTTTTTCAAGTTTGGTTGATCTAAACATTTTTCTCTCTTTCTGCCCACCCCAAACATGGCAAATGCTTTTCTTTTTCTTCCTCTTTTTATCCAAATCCCTTCTCTTTCTTCCCCCCTTATCTATAAAAATGATTTTAAAGAATTATTTTCCTGGTTCAAGTGATTCTTTGTCCAGCTCCTTGACGCCTGTTCATACATAGTGAATCAGTGACGTGGAAAGTTTCTTTCTATAAATTTAGCAAATTGGAAAATTAAAATTAAAAAAAAAAGAGGAAAGGAGCCATTGAAGTTTTCCTCTCAGTTAAAACAGCTAAAATAAAATTTAAAAAAGCTTTTTTCTTGTTACTGAATTTTTTATTTCTATGAATGTCATGTTGCTTAGATAAGCTAAATTCTAATAACTTTCATCTTTCATGAAATACTTTCTTGCATATTGCCTGCTAACTGGTTTGAATTCAGGTGCAGTCTCCCAGCAACATCCATGTTGCTTCTAAGTGATTATGTATCTGGGATTTTAATCTCCTGACTGATTTAGCAAAACTTAAAACTATACAAAGTAGTGTCACCCCTCTCTCTGCCTCCACTCTAATTTGAGGCCAATTTATAGTAATTTGTATAGAGAAAAGAAAAATATGGAAAGCATATTGTCAGTTATGGAAATCTTTTGAAATCTGATATTCCATTGCAGCCATTCAACCCCCACCACCACCAAATCTCAGTGCTTGCTTTGTACAATTTGGAAGCTTTTCTTTTTATCACCCTCCTCTTCTGCATGTTGGTTTGGCTTTAATTATTAGCTTTATATCAGTTTTAGTCATTTGATCTATTTAAAAAAAAAAAAAAAAAAAAGCTGCAGCTTATCAAACTAAAAGTACCCAGTGCATTTTCATTATACTGTATGGAAAATGCAAAATATATTTACAAAAAAACTTTATAGTGTTAACAAGATTGGGTCCCAATTTATTTATACCTGCTACTAATTTTTAAGCTGACAAACCTCTGACACTCTTTCCCCAAGTCATTATGGATCACCTAAACCTTTTTGTCAAATCAGCATTTCAGAAAGCTCTGTGCAGGAAAGTGAAAGAAGAAAGCATAATATCTTTGGTCAGGCTTTTGTGGAGAATTTTTTTTTTTTTTTTTAACATTCCTAAGCAAATTTTATTGGAACTCTGCCAAAGAAAAGCCAAGCATAACATCACTAATATTAAAATCATTTATGCAATAGTATTAAACTTTAAGCTTATTAATGACATTGTCAATTTTCTTTTAAAAACTGATTTATTTCTAACTGGATATGAAAAAGACTTTATTTCTTAGTATGGCAATGTTCTGAAGGCTTGACATTTATATCAAACGTGTACAGGAATTGTAAAAATATTCAATAACTTGTAAACCCACCCCACAAAAAAAAATCATCTGTTAATTATGGTCTTTAATGATAATGGAATAAAGTGACCACTGGGTCACTACTTTTGTATCTTAGAAAACTCACTGGAGTATTTTCCCTTTTTTACATATATTTAAAAACAATTTAATAAAAACTACACTTGCATTGCTTTTGGTTTTCAGTTTTCTCTACCACTTTAACTTTTATTTGAGTAGTGGAAGAAAAAACTCTTGGCAAGTGGATCAGAACTTTTGCTTGATATCAAAGTGTACTTACTATCTATAATCTGGAAAACATGGATACATAAAGTATATGGTTTGGTTTCGCTACATAAACACTTTCTTAGAATGTGAAAGACCAGCTTTTTATAACCAGGAAAAAATTTAGACAAGTTAGTAAAAGGGAAATAACTCTTGTCGCATTTTTTTTTTTTCTTCTCTTCCTCGACATGCAGTTGGTAATACTCTTCACTTATAAATACTCTATAAGAATCCACCAGTAATTACATGTTAAGTTACTAATTTATTGGTTCATTTAAGAATATATTGCATAAGCTCACTCAAAATTGCAAGAAAAATGAAACCCACCTTGTCGGGTGGGCCATTATTACTCCATAGATTATTTCAATAATAATAGAACTGTTCTACCTTTTTGCATTTCTCCTTTAGAGGACTTTCGATATTCTACACAAATACATCAGCTTGTGCAAGAGAATGTTTTACATTTTGTTTTATGCTTGTTTACAGAATCCGTTCAAATGTGTTGATCAAATCTTGCTATGGCTGATAGTCAAGTCTTTGACATCTCCACTCATTAACATCTGCTATAATGCCCTATGATCAAGTTTCCTGAGTTTATAATTGTCTTATCACTTAAGAAATCTAGATAAATGTTGTAGATTAACAGATAACCACTTTCAATGTTTCCAACTTGTTTTAATGCATCAATCTGAAGACGTGTCATAAGTTCTTTTATTATCCTAGAGCTGAATTAATTATCACAAAGATATTTTGAAATATTGGAGTATGCCAATCATCTTAGGGAGCCTGTAACTGCTGTGTTGGTTAGTGTGGGGGATGGCTCATTCTAAGCTGCTTGCATTGCAACTGGCACCTTCACAAAACATTAGTGTGGCATCAGTGGTAGAAGTACAGTCCTATGTTTAACATTTAGTTATGTAGTCCAACATTACCTGCTGTAAGAATGTTTAATTGTAATAAACATATATACCTTGGTTTTATTGATTTTTTTTTTTTTTTTTTTTTTTTTTTTTACCACTTACCTGAAAGACATTACTGGCAGTTTGTAAAGATGTATGATGCACACTTCAATATGGTTAACCAATTCTTCAAAATGGAAGCTGTTCCTGGCACAGACTCTATATATCTTTCAGAGTCCATCTATGTGAAAGGAGTAACACTTAATTTGAACCTCTGTTACTGCTTCATGCATTGATATCCTTGGCCACTTTCACTGTCCTCTCTACATGATTGATTTGTTTTCTACAGCTTAGCAACCCTTCCCATATTATTTAAAGCCAGGAAATATATGCTGCTGCCTTTTCTAATAATGATACAAGTCTTAGCTGGCGGGAGAAGAGGTGGATTCATATCTTTTCCAACAGGAAATGGGACTCGGCTGTGGTTTTTCAACTCCCAGCTGTTATCCATTACACTCCACACACCTCCAAGCTTACAACACCTGGTATCCCAGAGTGGTCACTAGTCAGGCTCAATATTGCTTAACTTCAGTGATCATATGGAGCTGGTGTTTCAATGTGATGTAGCATTAAGCCTTGCTCAATAGAGTCTTCAATACTATTCAATATATTATCCTGTAAGACCAAGTTATATATTTAGAGATTCTTGATAAGATCCAAAGAGGAATATGCAATGTTATTGTCCCTGACCTAATATCTTGGCTTCAGTCACTTTCCCACTACTATAACGTACTTTCACTGTACCTTTTCTGTAAATATTTTCATGGGGATTATTCTGATGAACTTTTCCTCTAGGCTCTATGAATTTAAATATAACACATGATTGGCAACAAGGTCTTATTTTACTGTTGAAATTGCTAGATGTAACCATAAGTTCTATGCTAACAGTTTCTTCTCTTGTATTTCTTCTGGCTTCTTGCTTCCCAGCAAACTTTGATCTTCAAAAATCTAAATGCAATATCAATTGTTATCTTCTGTCTTCTTGATTACTGTTCTCCCTCCTTAATGGTGAATTTTTTTTTCTCTCTAACACTCAATAGCTCTTTGCTTCTTTGTCACTTTATTGCTTTTCTTGGAGTGAAATGGGTCAATAAAACAACATTATCTGTTTTTTTTTTGGGGGGGGGGTCTCTGTTCTTCAAGAGCTCCAAAGTCACACGATAGGAGATAAAATAGACAACCCTGACAAGTAAGACAATATGAAGTGTTTAGATATTACCCAGTTTGCTGTGGGGGTGATGCATACAAAAGACAAATACTAGTGAAGATAAATGAAATCTTAAGACGATACTGGATTGAAAACAAGAAAGAAAAATGTTCCACTTTACCAAACATCTTGACGTGCTAAATCGACTTTACACTGTCTTTATTGTCCTTGTGATCAAGTGAAATTTGTCTTGAATAGTACAACCTCTCACATTCCATTTCATTATTATTTTTTTTTTTTTTTTTTAAGGATTTCGCATAAGCTCGCAATTTTTGTTTCTTTCGTTTTTCTACGCTTAAAGGCTAATTCCTGTGAAAACATGGTTTTCATTAGTCCAAAGAAAATTTCACATGGGCTTGCAAATTTCTTTCCATCTTTTTCCTCAGCTCTCCCGAATTTGAAGGGAGTGTGTAAAGGGAGTTATTATCATTGTTATTATTTTGTATTCACCACAAGATCGTTTTCTGGTATTTTTCGCCCATCGACATAGTAAATATTCCTCAAATACCAATGCAAGGTTTTTATTTTATTTTATTTTTATTTTTATGGCATAAGTTCAAATTATGTTGGAAGGTCATTTGAAAACTATAGATTTGCTGGAAAGAAGCATCTGTAGCAGACCGTGGGTTTACATGTTGTTAAATTAGGAGCACGTGCATTTATTCCTTCTAGAAGGTCCACTATAAGAACATGGTGGACTCACAGATTGAAGCTACCATAAAGAATTGTAAAGAAAACCATCAAGGCCAATATATAGATACACATCTATTATTGCGCTCTATCAATACAAAATCAAACTCCTTCAGGCACCCTGATCCCATTCCATCTTGCAAATAAGCATGTAGAATAGTAGTTTTCGGGTATATTCATCCATATAATATTGTTATACTTTCTTCAGAATGAAAATTGTTGGGGATTCCTTTCACTGCATCTGTCCTATTTTAGCCCTGCTAACGGATGTTCAATATGACACTCACGTCAGCTAATCTGAACTAACGTTTAGGATAGATGCATATAAAATTTCAACTAATCTAATTACAATTACGCTAATTGAACCTTTGCATGTCAAACTTCAGTCTAGGTTATTACTGTGTTAAGTAACCTTACTGATATCTGGTCTCGACTTCCTTATGATGAAGAAAAAAATAAACACAGGGAGAGAAATATTGAAAGAAAAAAAATGACGTTTTATTTTCCAAAAAGAAAAATATGTCAACAAAGTGTTAAATGCCTTCTCTCCAACTCTGTAAAAGAACGTAGAGGACATTAGAAAGGGCTTCCCTGATTGGGTTAAAACAAGGCTCTGCTGATTGGCTGTTAAGGTCCAGATGACCAGTTAAGCTTGACATATCTAAGTCAGAAACAACTGTTTAATGTTCTGTTC